TTTTTTATTTTATTTTATTTTATTTATTCATGAAAGTCAGAGAGAGAGAGAGAGGCAGAGGCAGAGGGAGAGAAGCAGGCTCCCCGCCTAGCAGGGAGCCCAATGCGGGACTCGATCCCAGGACCCTGGGATCATGACCTGAGCCGAAGGCAGACGCTTAACCATCTGAGCCACCCAGGTGCCCCTCTAGTCAATTATCTTTGTGTAGAATTCAGGTATACCTTCAGTTTGTTGGTCAGACCCCACCTAGCCTTCTATGAGCTGGTTAAGGATGATTTCTGACCAGGGCGCCTGGGTTACTCTGTTGTGCGTCTGCCTTTGGCTCGGATCCTGGTCCAGGATCGAGTCCTGCTCAGCGGGGAGTCTGTTTCTCCCTCTCCCTTCCCTCTCCTCCCCCAACCTTTTTTAAAAGATTTTTTATTTATTTGTCAGAGAAAGGGAGAGAACAAGCTCAAGCAGGGGGAGTGGCAGGCAGAGGGAGAAGCAGGCTCCCTGCTGAGCAAGGAGCCTGATGCGGGACTTGATCCCAGGACCCTGGGATCATGACTTGAGCCAAAGGCAGATGCCCAATCCACTGAGCCACCCAAGCGTCCCCCTTCTGGTCCCCTTGACTCATGCTCTCTTGCCCGGGTGCTCTCTCTCAAATAAATAAATAAAATCTTTAAAAAAAGGAAAGACTATGAAGAAAAAGGATGATTTCTGATCAACGTAAAGCATGTGAGACCTCTGATCTATACTTCATTATGACTTTTCAACCTTCTCCAACTCAAATTCATATGTATCTCTGATTCTTCAAGTCCACATGTCCTATTTGATCCTATGTATTGTTTATACCACACCCTATAGTATGGAATGCTGCAACCATTCCTTTCTTCCTAACTCATTCATTTATTCATTTGAGAGCCTATTTTGGAGCAGGTGCTGTTCTAGTTGGACAACATGAACAATAATCAAATGCATCTGTAATTTGTCAGATGGTGATAAGTAGAGAGGCCACGGTGGCTATTCTAGAAAGTGGGATCTTGGTATGAGGTGACATTTGAACAAAGGCTCCAGAGAAGTCTCCAAACACAAGGATATGTATGCTCTGATTAAGTTATAAACCACTCAAAATCAGGGAATGTGTCATTTCATATCATATCCCTCAGAATATCTACTGCTGTGTCTAGCACCAAATAGTTTCTCAGGAAATCCTGGGGAATGGCTACTTGAAAGTATAGTTGGGAAAAAGAAAAAAAAAAGCAACCTACTGACTGTTATGTTGGACTAGACAAAACATTTGTTGAACAAAAGCTTTTTTTTTTTTTTAAAGCTTTTATTTATTTATTTGACAGAGAGAGTGAGAGAGCATAAGCAGAGGGAACAGCAGAGGGAGAGGGAGAAGCAGGCTCCCCGCCAAGCAGGGAGCCCGACGTGGGGCTTGCTCCCAGGATCCTGGGATCATGACCTGAGCTGAAGGCAGACGCTCAACCATCTGAGCCACCCAGGCGCCCCAAAAAAGCTTTCTTTAGAGGGAACTTTATTATAGCTAGGTGAACCCAGCATTTTCACATGGGACATAAATGAGCATAAATTTGAAAAAGGGTGGGAGTTTTTTGTTTGTTTTAAAGATTTTATTTTTAAGTAATCTCTACACCCAATGTGGGGCTCCAACTCACAACCCCAAGATCCAGTGCTGTATTCTCTACTGACTGAGTCAGCCAGGGACCCCTGAAAAGAGTTTTATTATATTTTAATATAGAACACTGCTTTGTAGCAATAATTATTATAATGAAATTTTATCTGTTGAAGTAACCAACTATTAATACAAGTTTTGTACACTTTATTACCTATATACCATTACAATTTTCTGCTTTTCTTATAAAAATAATTATTTCAAGTAGGCAATACATTTATAAGATTTAAAAATCAGAAAGTATAAATAGGTACATAGTGAAAAATCTGCCTCCTACCTTTTGCCCTCCACTGTCCAGTTCCCACCCTTACCCCTAATACACACACACACACCTATTACTAGTATCTTGTGCATCCTTCCACAGTTTCTTCCTGCATGTACAAATAAGTACAAATATATACTCTTTTCTCCCTTTTAACAAAAATAGTCCATTCTCCACTTTGCTATTTAAAATTTCCTAATGCATCTTGGAGGTCTTTCTATATCAGTAGGTGTAGGGATTTTCATTCTATTTCACTGTTGCACAGTGTTCCATTGTATAAAGGGCCACGATTTATTTAGAGTGTCTCACTAGTGGACAACTAGGCTTCCAGTCTTTTTGAAAACAAAGCTTCAATAAATACCGTGGAACATTTATCATTTTACACATATATGAGTATAGATGTAAAATCCATCCAAGAAAAATTATTGGATCCATGGATGTCTTAATTTGTAATTGTTATAGATACTGCTAAATTGTCTACCCTGGAGCTTGTACTGTTCAACTGTCCCGCCAGCATCAACGAGAAGGACATTCATTTCCTCTTTCATTCATTACATAAATATTAGTTGACTATCCACTCCCTCTTAGGCACCATGGGAAGCACAAGGGATATAAACCAAGTAAGACATGGTTTCTGCCCTGAAGGAGCTCACAGTCGGGACAGTAGTGCTCAACCGGGGCAGTTTTACTCTCCAGGGGACATCTGACAGTGTCTGGGGACATGACAAAGAAGGGGTCCAAAGTGTCAGTAGTGCCCAGGCCGAGCAATACTGATCTAGTGGGAGTGACAGACACTGAAATGTGCTGTGGAAAAGTTGTGTTCTTGAAACTTAGAGGAGAGGTTTCTGAAGGCCAATCAGGGCAGGGAGGACAGGTGAGAAGAGAAAGGGAAGAGTGGGCGTAGTGGCTCGGAGGTGTGTGAGCAGTTTTGAATGGCCAGCCTACTGAAAGCTGGGTGAAGGAGGCGTGCACAGCAAGCCAGAGAAATCGTCATGGATCTGACTGACAAGGGCCTTAGTGGCCAGGCTAAAGATGGGATCTGTAAGCAATGTGGGGAGTCACTGAAAGGTTTCAAGCTGGGAAGTAAGGTGCTTAGATGTGCATTTCAGAAACTCACTTTGGTGGCAGGAGGGAGGACTGTTTGGATGGGGGCCAGATTGGTGACAAGCAGAAGAGTTAGGAGGCTTGGCAGTAATCCAGATTGCAAGTGACAAGAGCCACAACCCAGGTGGGAATAGAGGGGAGGGGTTCTGGAGATATAAAGGAAGCAAAATCAGAAGGACGTGGAGCTAAGAAGGGGATTTATAGGATGATTGCTATGTTTCTGATATGTAACCAATAGGATGGCAAGAGAGGTCATTCTGTAGAATACAGAACACCGGAGAAGAGCAGATTTGGGGAGGAAGAGAAATGTTAGTCAATGAGCAGGGAATATTCAGACCTGCAGTTCAGCAGAAAGCCCAGGACTGGCATCCCCATTTAAGAGGACGTCCCCATTTAACAGGACAAGGAACTGTCCTTTGAAAGACTGGGAGTGGATGAGGTCATCCAGGGGGAATGCAGAAAGAGAAGTGGGTGGAGAACAGAGCCCTTGGGAGCAGCTGCTGATTGGCTTCCATGGAAATTGCACGAGGAGCTGAATGCTCATCTCTTTTTTTTTTTTTTTTTTAAGATTTTATTTATTTGACAGAGAGAGACACAGCGAGAGAGGGAACACAAGCAGGGGGAGCGGGAGAGGGAGAAGCAGGCTTCCCGCGGAGCAGGGAACCTGATGTGGGGCTCGATCCCAGGACCCTGGGATCATGACCTGAGCCGAAGGCAGACGCTTAACGACTGAGCCACCCAGGCGCCCCCTGCTCATCTCTTTTATGGGTTGTTATTCTCATCTCCTCTGGCTGTGTTGACAGTGCTGCTATTTTCTTCCAGGCAAGCAACCCAATTTTTTAACAACCCTCTAAAAGGCTATGCAAATCTAACTTGTTATTAATACTGTTATTTTCATTGTCCCAGTTGCGCACCTGGTACCTAAAAGTTTTCTACAACATACTCCCTGCTACCTCCCGCAAACCCTTTGGTAACACTTTGTTGTTTAAAAACTTAGCTCAAGGGGCCCCTGGGTGGCACAGTGGGTTAGGTGTCTGCCTCTGGCTCAGGTCACGATCTCAGGTCATGAGACGGAGTCCTGAGCCCTGAGGCGGGCTCTGTGCTCAGCGGGGAGTCTGCTTAGATTCTCTCCCTCTGCCCCTCCTCCCCTCAAATAAATAAATAAATCTTTAAAAAATTAAAAAATAATAAAAACTTAGCTCAAATTTCTCTTTCTTTCTTTCTTCTTTCTTTTTCTTAAAGATTTTATTTATTTGTCAGAGAGAGAGAGAGCACAGGCGGGGGAGCATCAGGCAGAGGGAGAAGAAGGCTCCCTGCCAAGCAGGGAGCCCGATTCGAGACTCAGTCCCATGACCCCGGGATCATGACCTGAGCCAAAGCCAGACGCTTAACCAACTGAGCCACCGAGGTATCCCAGGCTCAAGTATCTTTCCTGCCTGCCTTCCAAGGAACCCTGGGCAAATATCTGTCATGGAACTGAAATACCTCACTACAGTTGTCTGGGTTTTTTTGGTCTGCTTCCCTCGCTATACTGAAATCTCCTTAGGGCAGGAATCACAGTTTGTCTTAGACCCTCCAGCACCCAGTACAGAGCTTGACACTTAACCATTTGAAAAATGGCTATTGAATGGAATTTTTTTTTTTAAAGATTTTATTTATTTATTTTGACAGAGAGAGAGAGAGAACAAGTAGGCAGAGAGGCAGGCAGAGGGAGAGGGAGAAGCAGGCTCCCCGCTGAGCAGGGAGCCCGACGCGGGGCTCGATCCCAGGACACTGGGAACATGACCTGAGCTGAAGGCAGCCGCTTAACCAACTGAGCCACCCAGGCGCCCCGAAAAATGGCTATTGAATGAATGACTTTGAGTTCTAAGAGGTTTATTAACAGGGCTCCTATACATTCCAGGGCACTCCTGATTTACACCTGTTGACCAGGCACAGTTATTAATAATTACCAGTTTCAAGGCTTCTCGGCCTTTGGCTAAGATCAAGTGTGGTATCTGTTCTTATAAGCTTAATATCTGATACATCTGCTATCCAAGGACAACATATTGAATGGATTTTTGGAGAAGGGAGATTAAAAAGGAGCTTGTTCTGTCCACTCCACACACCGACCAGGTATTGTGGTCCTTCCAGGCATGGTCCCCCCCCGTTGGGGACAAAATAATAATAACCATACAATCTTATAATTATTTATAATCACATTATAGATAATTAATATACAATAAAATATGATTAATAATTTAATAATATAATAAAATATATCATATAGAAATTATAATAAACAATATAATAAAATATAATTAGTATAATAAACTATAGAATTAATATATGATATATAATTACTAATATATAAGATTGTATGATGATTATGATCCCTTTCAATCTCAAAAGTGCCCTCATTTGCAAGATAAATTATGTGGTTATCCTGTTTATAGACTACCCAATTGTCATAGCTGGTCCTAACTTTTGGCAGGTGTCTCTGTTTATAAGACATTTCTACCAGAGAAACCAGCAGACACAGCAGGATCTGTTACTAGTTCTAGCCAATATCAAATAATGCAAACCATTTTTCTGAAATTATGAGGCAGAAATGAGACACCAGAGTTATGGGAAAGAGAGGGAATTTACACATTCCTTACACTGATCAAACTTCTTTCGAAACCAGCAAGCTATAGAATCAATACAAAAAAATTATTGGCACAAATAGGATGGTGCAGTGCTAAGAACCAAGAACTACAGGATTTTATAAATATGAGGCCTCACAAATCAGGTAGCTACAATAATTCATTGTGTAAATGAGGAACTGAGGCCCAGAGAGATTATGTTGAATTGACCAGTTATAAAATTAGTTTAAAAATGGGGCCTAGACATAAGGATAATCAAATATAACAAAGAAAGAAAATAAGAGAGTTCAAAACTAGACCCACATGTATGCAGTTATTTGATTTTCAGTGAAGGTGCCAAAGCAATCCAATTAGGAAATTATTTTCAACAAATGGTGCTGGAATAACTAGATATCCATAGGGGGAAAAATGAACCTGACCCTACCTTACACCATTCACAAAGACTAATTTGAGATGGATTAGAGACCAAAATATAAAAAACAAAACAATAGGGCGCCTGGGTGGCTCAGTCGGTTAAGCGACTGCCTTCGGCTCAGGTCATGATCCTGGAGTCCCGGGATCGAGTCCCACATCGGGCTCCCTGCCCGGCGGGGAGTCTGCTTCTCCCTCTGACCCTCCTCCCTCTCATGCTCTCTCTATCTCATTCTCTCTGTCTCAAATAAATAAATAAAATCTTTAAAAAAACAAAACAAAACAATAGCGGCGCCTAGGTGGCTCAGTTGGTTAAGCAACAGACTTGATTTCTCTCAGATCGTGATCTCAGGATCCTGGAATCGAGTCCAGAGTCGGGCTCAGTGCTCACCAGGGAGTCTGCTTGAGGATTCTCTTCCTCTCCTTCTGCCCTTCCCTGCCCCTCAGGCTCTCTCTCTCTCTCTCAAATAAATAAGTAAATAAAAAGACTTATTTATTTGAGAGAGAAAAAGATAGGAAGAGCAAGCACAAGTAGTGGCAGGGTTTGGGGAGAGGGAAAAGCAGTCTTCCCACTGAGCAGGGAGCCCCACTCGGGATTCAATCCCAGGACGCTGGGATCATGACCTGAGCCGAAGGCAGCTGCTTAACCAATTGAGCCACCCAGCGCCCCAATAAATAAATCTTAAAAAGAAAAACTATAAAGCTTCTAGAAAAAAAAACACAAAAGGATATCTGTGTGACTTGAAGGTAGATAAATATTTGTTAGCACACAAAAAGCAACAACTATAAAAAATTGACAAATTCAACTTCATCAAAATTTAAAACTCCTACTCATCAAAAGATACTGTTAAAAAAAGAATAAGCAAGCCACATACTGAGAAAAGAATATGCAAAACATATTTCTAATAGATACCTACTCGTTACAAATAGGAAAATAGTAACTTCGCAGTGGAGAAATATGGCAGATTTTATCCTAACTGAATGACCAAAATTAACATTACCAGTAACGGCACAAATGGACATCATTTACTGCCTGATGGGATGCACTGAGAAGGACCCAACCTTCCTTCTGTGGTATTCCTGCCAAAAAATACATAACCTCATTCTAAACATCAAACAAACCCAAAATGAGGGAAATTCTATAAAATACCTAGCCTGTACTCTTGAAAAGTGTCAAGGTTATAAAAGACAAAGAAATACTGAGGAACTGTTCCAGATTACAGGAGACTAAAGACACTTCATAACTGAATGAAATATGTGACCCCAGATAGAATAAAGGACATTAATGGGATGATTGGTAAAATTTGAGTAGGGTCAAAGTTTAGGTAATAGTATTATGTCAACATCAATTTCCTAAATTTGATCATTGTACTGCTGTTATATAAGAGAATGTTCTTTAAAAAAAAAAAAGTAAATGAACACTGAAGAATTTAGAGGTAAGAAGGCATCATGCCTACAATTTACATATCAGAAATTATTTTTAATCCATCTATCTGTATTTATATATGTATATCTCTATCTATACTTATATATGTATACATGTATGTGTATATATATATATATACAGAGAGAATAACTGATAAAGCAGTAGGGTAAGGCTGTTAACATGGGGAATATGGCAAAGTGTATACAGGAATTCTCAATGTCATTTTTGTGACATTTTGGAAGTCTGAACTTATTTCAAAATAAAAAGTTTTATATGTATATGACATATATAAATATACATATTTATATATATGCAAAGGACTTGTATCCAGAATGTATAAAGAATGCCTATGACTCAATAAACAACAAACAGCCCAATTAAAAAATGGACAAAATATTTGAAGGGACACTTCACAAAGAAAGATATGTAAAAGAGAAACACAGGAAAAGACGCTCAAAATCATTAATCATTAGGGAAATGCAAATTAAAACCACAATCCAATACCACTATGCACCTATCAAATTAAAAAAACTTGACAACACTAAATGTTGATGAGGACTTGGAGCAACTAGAGCTTTCTTTTTTTTTTTTTAAGATTTTATTTATTTATTTGACAGAGAGAGACACAGCGAGAGAGGGAACACAAGCGGGGAGAGCGGGAGAGGGAGAAGCAGGCTTCCCGCTGAGCAGGGAGCTGGATGCGGGGCTCGATCCCAGGACCCTGTGATCATGACCTGAGCTGAAGGTTTATAGTTTATTATAAGAGCTTACTATAGTTTACTATAAGAGCTTAACCGACTGAGCCACCAGGCGCCCTGCAACTAGAGCTTTCAAATACTGTCAATGGCGTGTTAAATGGTATCATTACATTGGGAAAAGTTTTAGCGGCATTTAACAATGCCTCTTTTATAATCTGAGAGGAATGAAAGCATATGTACACAAAAAAATTTGTACCAGAATGCTCATAGCAGTTTTATTCATAATGGCTCCAAACAGGAAATAACCTAAATATCCATCAACAGGAGAATAAATATAGAAACTATAGTATATTGAAACAAATATGTAACAACATAAATGAATAAATGAATAAATGAATCTCAAAAACATCATGCTGAATGAAAGAAGCCTTATGCAAATATCACATACAGTCTGAGTCCATTTAGATGAAGTTCTAGAACAGGCAGAATTTATCTGTGTTGAAAAGAAATCAGAAGAGCAGTTGCTTCTGGGAGGGTGGACATTCGGATCAACTAGAAAGGGCTTGAGGGAACTTTCTGGGATAAAGGTAATATTCTATATTCTTGTTAGAAGTTTGGGTTACAGGGGTGTCTTTTTGTCAAAGCTCATTGGATAGAACACTTAAGTTTGTTTATTTCACTGTATATAAATTTTACCCCAATAAAAAGAATCAGAAACAGCTATTGAACTCTAGTTATTAATATGCAGGTTGAAGTGTTTAGAGGTGAAGTATACTGATGTCTGCAACTTACTTTGAAATATATAAAAAAATAAGATCAATCGATACATGGTTAGATGGATAGGTAAATGATAAAGCAAATAAAGTGAAATGTTAACTGTAGAATATATATATAGGTAACAAGTATATACATGTTCACTGTATAATTCTTTCAACTGTTTTTTTCTGTATGTTTGAAATTTTTCATAATAAAATATTGGGGGAAAAGTTGAGCCAAAAATCCTGGCTTCTTAATTCCCATTTTGTTATTCTTTCCATTATACTACATTTAATCAAACTTTCAGTGTCTAATCATCAGACATTAGCAGTCTGTTTTGAAAAGTCAGGCCAGGGGCGCCTGGGTGGCTCAGTTGGTTAAGTGTCTGCCTTCGGCTCAGGTCATGATCCCAGGGTCATGATCCCTGGGATCGAGCCCTGCATTGGGCTCCCTGCTCAAATAAATAAATAAAATCTTAAAAAAAGAAAAAAGAAAAGAAAAGTCAGATCAGACTAACAATAAAATATACAGGAGCTATGACAAGATATGCCAGGAAAATCCTCCAAAAAGCCAAGGATATTAGTAAGCAACTCAGATCTGAAAACAGTCCTCCAACTAGCGAAAATCTAAGAGCAAACATGCTGAGGAAGGACCGCGTTGCCTTTTGGGGAGCTGGCAGGTACAGCGTGCGTGACATCACCATAGCCGGCATATGATTTCAAAATATGTTAAAGACCTACATTGCTAAGATAAGGTTTTATGAGGCTTTATGTTTGTATGACTTCTGCCTTCCTTGGACTTCATATCTCATTTCTTAACAGTTTCATCAACTTCACTCTTGAGTCATGCTTACTTAACGAACAAGACAAGATCACTGGCAAAAGGTGCAAGAACATAACTGGTTTCCCTGCATAGGAAGAGCTCTTTTGCAATTCCATTAGCTGAGCAAGACATCCAGGGGATGACTAAGAGGAATACAGACGAACAACTGCTGTGTAGTAAACAGGACCAGAGCGGAGTGAGCTGTGCACAGAAACTCCGCTTTAAGTAACATTCTGTAACACTGAGTCACAGAAGCAGCAAACAAACCCGCTTGGCTCAAGCAACACAATAGTGGAGGGCATCTTTGGCCAGCTCTGTCAGACTTTTCCAGAGGTGAAAAGGCTATGTTACAGATAGCTACCAATATGGATTCAGGCTTTAGTATTGGCTGAGTCCAGAAACCAAAGGGCTA